CATTTACTTTGTTTACTCAGGAAATATTCATCAAAATTACACTCGTGCATCAAAATAGACAGATAATTTTGAAGCACTTGTGCAATTACTTCCGATAATATTAAAAGCATTTTGATTATAGCCTTATTCCAACAGTTTTTTCCTCAAGTCTTCAGTGCTAATCGCATCAACGTTGGTTGTCGTTTAGCAAGCTCAACCCTATTGTGAGGGTCGGTTGCGAGGCCTCCTCAACGCTGAGCCAAAGACGATTGGGCTGAGAGGAAAGCACCGAATTCCTGTCGCTTGTTTGTACTCGTTAGGCCGCTATGCTGCGCTATGTCTATCTGCGTATCTGATACACATGCATGTTGCTGCGAGCAGCTCGGGAAGCCCTTTTCTTTGTCCCGATATTGAAATGGAGTCGTTTGGGCGTAAGTAATTTGCTTTACCGTATCCCCGCTGCCACCGCCGCGTTATGGTTCTCTACCGTAAACACCCCGCTATGCCAAAGTTGCTCTTGTCAGAGACGTAATGGGTTTTATCTCAATGTCAATGTTTGCCCCGTTAAGGCTGAATGGGGTAGTTTCCCTACCCCGAATTTGCATAAATAATTTCAGAAAATCCGCTTCGCCTAGGGGATATGATGGACCGAATGGTTCGCGACAATTATCCGCGTGACACGCCGATTCAGTTGAAACTCGAAGATTCTCATGCGRCGTCCAGGCCGAAAGAGTTGAGCCCGAGCCGAACCTGAAGCGCGGCAAACTTCGCTAAAATGCCSACATAAAATGKATCGTCTGATAGTCACGGTTGCAAATTCAGGCACCCAGCAAATTTGAAGCTCCCGAAGWTTCAAGCTGTTTYTTCWGCAAAATCTGTTCTGGATTGCGCATTTTTTTACCTCATTTCGGCAATCGGAAAGCGCGCTTGTTCATTCAGCGACACGCTCCTTAAACAATGGATTATTTGACCTGTTGCCTTAACCACTTCATGCTGTCCGATAAAGCAATTAAATCGATCCAATTAAAATTCAAGTTGCATCCAAAAAAAACATGGTAATTGATGGCGCCGACAGTTTGAAGCAATTTAGTTGGCGAAAATTGTCGAAATTTGATAGGGTTTACAGCGCGAAAACTACCGGGTTTTGCAAAATTTCGAATATTTTTGAAGGTCGAACATTTTCGACGAAAACAATTGAAATTTGCAACACTTTTCCACGAAAAACATTGAAGGCAATGAAAGCACTTTGGCGAACAAAAAAAGCAACCAAAATCTTCTGTTAACTCGATATGAAATATCCTGAAGGGTAATTCGAGAAAAAGAAAAACACTTTAAATAAAAAGAAGTGATAAAATTGATCACAAAACAGAAAACCATGTTCAACGCCTATCGATTTCCTGCTATAATTGAATGGCTCTTAAATAAAGCAACATGCGAAAGTATGGAGAAGAGACAATAGGGAAAATGAACAAAAACATTTTTAAAAAGCAGAAATAAAAGTCGCGAACAAAACAAGAATTAATCAGAACAACAAAAACTGTATAGCATATTCTAGATTTTTGTCAGTTTAGACTAGCAGCCTCTGGCATTGCAGCACTTTAAACAATTTCAAAACGTACAGGAGAGTTATTTTTCAGAAATTAGGCCCCTTTTTCTATCAAAAAAAAAAAATGGCGTGCGTCACGAGACGCTTACCATTTGTTTGGGACTGGAAATTATCAGAATTATTCTGACGAAACTTAAAAAAAAATAAATTTTACAAAAAAGACCAATGATAATTTCCTGGGCTCCAGTCACTGTGAAACAAAAAAGTTTTGTATATCGTTTATTTCGTTACGTTTCGGCGAGACAACAGCGCCATCATCAGATGATTTAGAG